AGTACACCTTCAGGTCACTCCGTCAAGTCCGAAGGTAAAGACTCATCATACCCAACAAAACGAGCCCAAACACGTCACATCTAGTAGTACTCGGCGACCAGTTCCATTAGCGATTACCAAATTGCACCTTCAGGTCACTCCGTCAAGTCCGAAGGTAAAGACTCATCATACCCAACAAAACGAGCCCAAACACGTCACATCTAGTAGTACTCGGCGACCAGTTCCATTAGCGATTACCAAAGTACACCTTCAGGTCACTCCGTCAAGTCCGGAGGTAAGGACTCATCATACCTAACAAAACGAGCCTAAACTCAGCACAGCTAGTAGTACTCGGCGACCAGTTCCAATAGCGTTTACCAAAGTGCACCTTCAGGTCACTCCGTCAAGTCCGAAGGTAAAGACTCATCATACCCAACAAAACGAGCCCAAACACGTCACATCTAGTAGTACTCGGCGGCCAGTTCCAATAGCGATTACCAAAGTACACCTTCAGGTCACTCCGTCAAGTCCGAAGGTAAAGACTCATCATACCCAACAAAACGAGCCCAAACACGTCACATCTAGTAGTACTCGGCGACCAGTTCCATTAGCGATTACCAAAGTGCACCTTCAGGTCACTCCGTCAAGTCCGAAGGTAAAGACTCATCATACCCAACAAAACGAGCCCAAACTCGTCACATCTAGTAGTACTCGGCGACCAGTTCCATTAGCGATTACCAAAGTACACCTTCAGGTCACTCCGTCAAGTCCGGAGGTAAGGACTCATCATACCTAACAAAACGAGCCCAAATACGGCACACCTGGTAGTACTCGGGGACCAGTTCCAATACCGATTACCAAAGTACACCTTCAGGTCACTCCGTTAAGTCCGGAGGTAAATACTCATCGTTCCTAACAAAACGAGTCCAAACTCGGCACACTTAGCTCTACTAGTCCAGGTGTTCCAGTATTAGTTACTGAAGTTCACCTACAGGTCACTCCATCAAGTCCGGAGGTAAGGTCTTATCATAACTGACAAAACCAGCCTGAAGTCCACAGCTAACATCTCACTGCCAGTAAAGCGCTCCCAGTGCCAAGCAGTCTCTAGAGTAGGTATTCGTATTTCGTATCTAAATCTAATTACTCTATGTATCTAAGTAGATTTTTGAGGTGTAAGAAATCAAAAACAAATTCGATCTTTCAAATTATCAAAATAATTTTATTTGACTACGATTCCCGCAGCCAGCCGTGCGTACACTTGTGTGCGTGATACTGTGTCAATGTAATAGTTCGATTCTATACCTATATCAATTTTGTAAACGCGTCCTTAAAAAATCTTAACGTAAATATTGCGGCAAAAAGAGCGACACGTCTCTACAGCACCAGGCCTCGGCCGGCAGTGACTGCCTGCAGACTGCACAGGCGTTTACGCAAACATCCGTAACGTATTATTTCAGAAATAAGAATATGCGATTTAAATAAAAAAACTATTAGTTGGACTAAAAAATTAAAACACTATTACGTTAATATGTTGAATGTATAAACATTTGACAAAAAATCAGAATGATTGCATGTATACTAGTATGGTTTTTACTCGTTAAAAGAAATTTTTAGAGGTACGTTTGTGATTTTTTTCTGTCGTATTAAATTAGTGGTATCATGTTTTCAACACACTATCTAACTAGCATATATCCTGGACAATATCATATATTTTTCTGGGTTTGTTTACTGCAGTGGATCATATACTTTGAGGCATTATAAAACTTGCATTTAGCATCATGCCTCGTCTTAATAGTGGTACAGAAAGAGAAACTTTTTATTCAATATAGATTATAAACATTGAGTTAATATGTACTACGTAGTACGTACTAGAGGCGACACTGCATTCAGCTACTATGTTCCATTCAACTGCGGTGCATACACCGCACTTTAATCAGTCACTCGCTAGGCGCTTGTAGAGTTGACACGTGTTGTGTTGATTTAAAAAAAAATGTGATAAAAATATGCCGTCGTGCGTACTTAGATATTGCACAAATAATTCAAGAAATGTCAGTAAAAACCAAGTAATTACTTTTCATTGGTTAATAAGATACTTAATCATCATCATCATCGTTGGAGCCACACGCAAGTGTGAGTAACGATCCAAGAGCAAGTCTTATCCGACACTATTCCGATGATATCCCGGACGTCAGTCTGAGCGAGATTAGAATGGCTCTCCACCACCTTAAAAACGGCAAGGCCCCGGGCGAGGATGGAATTACAGCGGAGCTTCTGAAAGCGGGTGGAACACCGGTACTTGAAGTCCTTCAGAAGCTCTTCAATTCCGTCCTCCATGGTGGCACTACTCCGGAGGCGTGGAGCAGAATCGCGGTGGTTTTGTTCTTTAAGAAAGGCGACAACGCTCTCTTGAAGTACTACAGACCGATTTCCCTTCTGAGCCGCGTCTACATGCTATTTTCGAGAGTCATTACGAATCGTCTCGCACGCAGACTCGACGACTTCCAGCCTCCCGAACAAGCCGGTTTCCGAAAAGGCTTCAGTACCATAGACCACATACATACCCTGCGGCAGATTGTACAGAAGACCGAAGAGTACAATCTGCCACTTTGTCTGGCATATGTGGACTATGAGAAAGCCTTTGATTCCGTCGAAATATGGGCAGTGCTACAGTCCCTTCAGCGGTGCCAAGTTGACTGTCGGTACATCGAAGTGCTGAAGTGTTTGTACAGTAGGGCTACGATGGCTATCCAAGTACGGAACCAGAGTTCGAAACCTATCCAACTGCAGAGAGGTGTAAGACAGGGTGATATTATATCCCCGAAACTCTTCACCGCTGCGTTGGAAGACGTTTTCAAGCTACTGGTCGGGAAAGGATACGGTATTAACATCAATGGCGAATACATCACTCACCTTCGATTTGCCGACGATATAGTCCTTATGGCAGAATCGCTGGAGGACTTAAGCATTATGCTCAATGACCTCAATAGTGCCTCCCAACGGATAGGTCTTAAGATGAACATGGACAAAACAAAGATCATGTTTAATGTCCATGTCACACCTGCGCCGGTAGTTGTTGGTAGCACTATGCTCGAAGTTCTTGACGAGTACGTTTACCTGGGACAAATAGTCCGACTAGGTAAGTCCAACTTCGACCGAGAGGTCAATCGACGGATTCAACTCGGCTGGGCAGCGTTCGGGAAATTTCGACATATCTTTTCGTCAGGTATACCTCAATCTCTAAAAACTAGAATGTACAACCAGTGCGTGTTGCCAGTGATGACTTACGGATCTGAGACGTGGTCCTTCACTGCTGGCCGTATGAGGACGCTGAAGGTCGCTCAGCGAGCTATAGAGAGGGCTATGCTCGGAGTTTCTCTGCGTGATAGACTCAGAAATGAGGATATCCGCAGTAAAACCAGAGTGACCGACATAACCCAACGGATTAGTAAGCTGAAGTGGCAATGGGCCGGCCATATAGCTCGAAGAACCGATAACCGATGGGGAAGAAAGGTTCTCGAGTGGCAGCCTCATACCGGTAGGCGTAGTGTAGGGCGACCCCCCACTAGATGGAGTGACGACCTGGTAAGACATGCAGGAAGTCGATGGATGCAGGTGGCTCAGGACCGTGCTTTGTGGCATTACTTGGGGGAGGCCTATGTTCAGCAGTGGACTTGTGAAGGGCTGTAATGATGAATGATGATGATGATACTTAATCAATAAAAAAGTATTATAAATTAGTAATAAAACAAATTATTCCTAAGACGCCATCTTGTGTCACGTAATATAGATTATGAAATTAATTTGTTCAGATGCGACATTTCCGTGGGTACTTAAATATAGGACTAATATATTATTATACACATTTTTTTATAGAAACATATATGAGTTATCATAATTAGGCCAAATTTTTTATATTTAAATCTGGTAATTATTCTTATAATTTATTTTTAGGTTTCCACATCAAAGTCAAAGTGGAATAAATTCGTCAATTTTTAACTCTCGCGTGCCCAATATTTATGAACGGCTCTTATTCTAATTTAAATAAATATATTTGTAATTTAAATGTTATATTAACAAGTTTTGTTAAACATACATTTAGTATGTTTTTTTATATTTGAGATAGATACCTTTTAAAATATTGAGATAAAAATATCATTAAAATGTAATTGTGATATAATATTATGTAATATTATATTAAATAAACAAATATAATATGCAAAATAAATGACAAAATTTAAAAAAAATTGTTTTTGATATAATTTACCTATTTAACAGTACAATCTTTTATTACCTACTGATCATTCTACCTATGTTTATTCTATGATAAGAAAACAAACCGCGCGAACACAGAGTACCGCACATTTTTTGTTTGAAATAGCTGTTCTAGTACGTAAGTACATATTACTTCAATGACTAAAAATAATAGTTATTGAAAACCACTTTTTTTTTAATTTACCACTGGTACGGAAAAAAATGTCTTGAGGAGAGCAAGAAACTCTTTTTTTTTAAATAATATCTTACAATCATGTATGATACAATTAATAACACATAACAAATTAGAAATAGCTTGGTAGCGATCACTTTACCCAGGGGTATCATCATCCATAAATTCCTTATAATATATATACAAACTTAGTTTAATAAAGTTTTTGAACTTTGATTATTGATTGAGATGGACAGACAGGAGCAGCGTTAAGACTTTGTTTTAATATGTTTTGGTTGATTAATAAGTAGGTATCTCTAAACATCTCATATATCATAATAAAATAACTGGGTAAAAACATGCTTATCTAAGTATAAACCTTCTCAGAAATGAGAGGCTTGCCCAGCTGTGGGACGTATACAGGCTGTAACTTTAAAGAATATTTGAAAATGTTGTGATTATCATAATATATTCTTTTATTATAGGACCAATTACGAGTAAAACACATTTCTAATTTATTTATTTTTTATTCCATTATTTCATATTGCCGGTTTTAAATTATATAAATATAAAATTTTACAATAGTGTGTCGTCTTTTCTATAGGATTATGGAGTTGTGTAAATAAGACCCGTCACCTGCGCGGCTAGATGCAGTGTCGGCTGGTATTACCGAGATCCTTGGCTTGAATCCATCTTCATCAGCCTCGTACTCTACCACCTGGAAAGAACAGAATACATGCCATGAAAATGTGTTAATTTTACCACGTTTTCATCATGTCACTTTCTAGTTTTTCTGACGTTCCGGGTCAATCTTGCAATTCAAATTTCGAACACTTCCCGATAGGCTATATAGGGATCTTGAAATTTTGATCCTAGCTCAGAATCAGAAATTGTAGGTGAAAAACGTGGTTTTTTTTTTTTTACACTTTCGTTTGTTGAAAAATTATATCAACTAGCTACTATAGTCCAAGGATAAAAAGTAAGAGATCAAAACAAAACAGAAACTTTTTTATTCAATATAGATTATAAATAATACTTATTGAAAGTCATTGAGCTATTACGTACTACGTACTAGAGGCGACACTGTTTTCAGCTACTATGTTCTATTCAACTGCGATGCATACACCGCACTTTATAATCATTCACTCGCTAGGCGCTTGTAGAGTTGTCACGTGTTGTGTTGATTTAAAAAAAATCTCTTGATAAAAATATGCCGTCGTGTGTACTTAGATATTGCACAAATAATTCAATAAATGTCAGTAAAAACCAAGGAATTACTTTTCATCGGTTAATAAGATACTTAATCAATAAAAAAGTATTAAGAATTAATAATAAAACAAATTATTGCTAAGACACCATCTCGTGTCATGAAATATAGATTATGAAATTAATTTGTTCAGATGCGACACTTCGGTGGGTACTTAAGTATAGGACGAATATATTATTATACACATTTTTTTTGGTGGAAACATATTATATAAGTTATTATAATTAGGCGAAATTTTTCATGTTTAACTCTGCTTATTATTCTTTTATTTTATTTTTAGGTCTCCACATCAAAGTCAAAGTGGAATAAATTCGTCAATTTTTAACTCTCGCGTGCCCAATATTTATGAACGGCTCTTATTCTAATTTAAATAAATATATTTGTAATTTAAATGTTATATTAACAAGTTTTGTTAAACATACATTTAGTACGTTTTTTATATTTGAGATAGATACCTTTTAAAATATTGAGATAAAAATATCATTAAAATGTAATTGTGATATAATAATATTTAATATTATATTAAATAAGCAAATATACAAAATAAATGACAAAATTTAAATATTGTTCTCGATATAATTTACCTATTTAACAATGTAATCTACTATTACCTACGGATCATTCTACCTATGTTTATTCTATGATAAAAAAAAACCAACCGCGCGAACACAGAGTAGCGCACATTTTTTGTTTGAGATAGCTGTTCTAGTACGTAAGTACATATTACTTCAATGTTGACAGTCACTTTTTTTAATTTACCACTGTTTCGGGAAAAAAAACCCTATCCTGGTAAGAACCAGCAAGAAACTCAGCGGGATTTTTTTAAATAACAGCTTACAATCGTGTATGTTACAATTAACACACAATAAATTAGAATCGGCCTGGTAGCGATCACCCCATCCAGGGGTTATTTCATCCACATCTGAAGTGTATAAGAGATGTAGAGAAATGTAGAAGAAACCCAGTATAATAACAGGCCATGAGGTATGCCATCTTAGCCCTCATTGAGGCCAATTCTTTATTTATGTTGGTTGCAGGTGAACAACTGATTCCTGCAACGTTCCATCAGGTGGACTGTAAGTTTGTTTTTCAATTCAATTTTTTATAGAAGAATGGTGACAAACGAGCACACGTTCCACCTGATGGCAAGTGGGTGCTGTAGCCCATAGACATATACATCTGTCCGATGATGAATCATAATGCAGATGCATTGTCACTCCTAAGGACTAAGATGGAATGTCTTGTTCCCAGTAAAGAAAGAATTAACATTCACAACCTCTTACAGTGCTGACTGTCTTATTATAAAGTTAAAGTTACAGCCTACATACGTGCTACGTAGTGGGACGTATATACGCTGTAAGAGAAATGAAGAGAGAGAACTCTACACGTCTTCGAAATATTTTTTTTTGTTCCTCAGACATGCAGCTTTCCTCACGATGTTTTCCTTCACCGTGGAGCACGTGGTAAATCAACGCCTAAAATTGCCTGCGTACTGTGAAAACTTATATATTGTATTTCAGTGTGTCCGACTACACTAAAATACAATAGTATTCGCATTTGTGTTTGCAGAAATAGATAGGTGGAATTTACTCGGGTTCCAAAGCAGTAGAGCTGATGAAGATGATTTCAACGTACCTGTTTGGTTCCATCAGGAAGTACGACAAAGTACGTCCCTTCTGCTTTATCGTCCTGCCTGTTTTCCGCGTGGCCAAAGTCAATTCCGCTCTCATAGTCGCTCACTTTGTAGGAGAACTCGTAGTTCGCTGGTTCCTGTGTATTTTGATTAGTAAGTTTGAGTAATAGAACGTGTAGTAGCGTGTAAGAATATCCAGTACCCCATATCGTCCCGTGGGTGTCGCAAGAGGCGAGACAGAGAAATACAAAGGCAACAGCGTCTTCCTAATAACGACTAGAAAAATAAAATAAACTGCGGTTACCAACCTACCCACCAAGCGTGGCAACTGTGGCAATCTTCGGGTTGTTCAGATATGAATAATTAATGGCATCGATACATTTAGTAGTATTTATCAATGAATGCAGCGCTAGTAGTTATTTGTGACGTTTGTAGGAGCTATCTACTTCTTATTAAAATGATATATCAACTAATAAAAAAAACCTATTACATTTCTACACAATCTTGTTTCCATAATAGCCAATACCAGTTTTTTTAAGGAGTAAATACTTGATGAATCTTCCTACAACTAAACCACAGAAATACGAATTAATTGTTAATAATAAAAAATCATTATATAAAAATTATTGATGACATGCATCTCCTCATAAAGTAAACATATTTACACGTCTCATAAGCGAAGCATTGAGGTTGTGCTCTACTCTCACCTAATGGTGTTAAGTAAAGTCGCTTAATACGTAAGTAACATCATGTATTTTATTAACTGCATAAAATATCATAAATCTAAATCTAAACAAGGTTATATATATTCATAATAAATAAAAAGGTACAAAAATAAGTATTATTACTCACAATTTATCTTCCGTGTACGTATTCTCTACTCAACAGTTTTAGTAAGACTGCCGCCGCTCGTCGCTGCCGCTTTCGCTGCGTCAAACCGACGACATCTGTCTTTTATAGGCTTGTAATTTAACTGTGCTAAACTACAGATGGCGTTGCTTGTGTGGTTTCCGTTCCAAGTTTTTATAAAATTGGATATTAAGCCGTAAGTTTTTACATTATAAAACATTATTTATATTTCTTATAATTATCTTAAACAGTTTTACATTCGAGTTATAAATCTAAGCAAAAATAAATAACTAGACATAGTCTAATACATTAATGTACCCGCAGAATTTATAGGATGAAAATAATTAATTACCCACCATGTTAGTTACAACAATATCAATTATTAAAATACGCTAACAATGGAAATCCAGTAATTTACTGAGCTAAAAATGTCTTCATTTTTTAACTACCACACTTTAAGAATAGTAAAATACAAATATATCGAGAAAAATCACTCGTTTTCATGTTTCTATTATTTTTAAAAGTAATTTTTTGTATTTAGTGTAAAAACAAACCGATTGAAAAAAATTATCTAGGGTGCACGGAAGTCTGTATTAATCGTAGTCGTTAGAATTAATGTATCAAAATAATTCTTTTTTTATTAGGTTTAGAATCTCAACGCACAGGTTCCTTTCAAAAATTACTGAGTAATTTACCATTACATTAGATTTGATAAACCACAAATTCTCGCAAAAGAACACCGATTCCTACCAAGGATGATACGCGAGGCTATTGAAATTAAAAAACATCCAAATTTCAATAGAGAAGATGGTTGGGTGCTACCATCTGCTTGGGATCCTATAATCAACAAAATTAAACCCAAACCCAAGCATACCACTGCAAGACTTCATGATACTATAAGCTCGTTTTGCGTAAATTGGACCAAAAATTAATATTAAAAAACTGAAGGTAGCCGGACTAACTATGACATTGGGACGTCAAACATCTCAGTCCCCCCCCCGTGACCATGGGCGCTGTAAAGCACCCGAAACGTCGGGATAATAATAAAAATAAATTAAAGTAATTAAACGCGATAAAATCCGTAAATAATAGTTTTATTCAATGTGTAGTGTTCGCGTAAATTTAAGAAATCATTATTAGAAAAAGATATATTTTTCTTTTATATAATCAAACGAGATTGATTACAAGGCGTGCACTTTTGGATTTTCCAAACTTTTTTATTTTACGATTGCCACTAATGGATAGGCAATTTATTAATGAACATTTTGATCTGTTTAATTTTTCAAAAGATAATTTTTTTTTACAATAACCTAAATATATACTAAACAAAGTTCATAAATACAGTGCAACATAAACCTATATAAGATTTTTCTGCACACTGCAGTTCGCCGTATTTCGAGCGCAAACATTTTAATATTATTTAGAGTAAGAAGGTAGTTCGCTCATTTCTATACAAATAACATGAGGATGGATTGTAGTGGCTATTTAGTTAGAGTATATTTTTGGAATATACATATAGTAATTATATTACATATAGTAAGTACGTTAGTTTATAGTTATATCATGTTAGTTGATTCAAAAAATATGTTTTTAATTTGTATTTAATATTTTTGGGATTCGGTTTAAAGAACTTTATTTCTTATTAAGACAATAAGTCACTTACATGAGAACAATAACATCTATATTATAATTCTAGTGCGTGTGGGTAGTAAAAAAATAAACAAAAATTATACCGGTCGATCGTTAACCAAGAAGCGAGTTCATTGTGTTCCTATCAACTATAAGGCGGTGGTCCAAGTATAATTTTAATGCATAGTTTCATCATTATAAATATATTCAAATAATCTTCTTTTAAAAATATTGATTGAAGTCGCCTCTTTCAAATGTTTTGGAAGTTGATTGTATAACTGTGCTCCCCCAAATGTTATGTTGATTGATATTTTCCTTCAAGGTTTTAGGTAGTTTATTAATTAATTTAGGAATAATAATCTTATTTTGATGATCGCCATATATATTATGAGTTTTAGCTATAATTAATTTAGGGTTATGTATACTTCTAAGCTGATGTTTGTACGTAGGTATGACTTGTAATTTTGTATTAAAGAACTGTTCTACAAGATAAAGATAAAGATATTTTATTTTGCAAATATGGGTACAGTACATGGAAATATAGGTAGTGAGTTCAGCCATATTTTACCAGTAGGCATGCAAAATATACAGAAATATAAACTAATCACCTAAACAGCTATAACAAAATAAAATAATAGCACAAAAACAAACATAATTTAAATTTTTTTAACATTATACAGTCTTAATCTCAAAATGAAAATTTTTTTTCAGTCAAATATTCTGTTACGCTATAGTATGCTTTGACTGTCAAGAAGCTACGAAGCCTTTTTTTAAATATCGATAGCGGCAATTCTTTCCAACTTTTTGGTATTTTATCATATATGACTGGAGCCATGCAGTATATACTTTTGCGCATTAGTGCTGTCTTAGCGGATTGATGACATAAAAGGGTATTGTCGCGTCTATTACGTGGAACTACTTGGTCAAGGCGTTTAAAACGTTTCGGATGCAATTTAACAAACACTGCTACTTCTAGTACTTGTATAAGCAAGGTAATGTCAGTATTTTATACTGTTTAAAATATGGCATGCAACTATCGGTAGTTTTGACCTTAAACATCGCCCTTATGCATCTTTTTTGAGCCTTAAACGCTGATTCTTTTTCGGTTGAGTTACCCTAAAATATTGTTCCATATCGGAGGTGGGATTCTGCTAAGCCGTAGTAAGCAGTGAGGAGTGCATCCGTGTATACTATTGAAGACAAATTATGTAAAGCATATGCGGTTTTACTAATTTTTTTACATAAAGTATTAATGTGTGCTTTCCAGTTAAGATGTGTTTGTTTTTCTTTTACAACATCATTATTGTAGTGTACATTTAGGCTCATGCTAGGAATCCGTTGACTGAAATGGATAATTTTTGTTTTATTTAAGTTTATTTTTAAATTGTTTTCGACCAACCAGTTTACAACTAATTTTAAGGAGTTATTAATGTCATTTTCATAGGTCTCTACACTTTTACATGGTATTGTCACTGTGGTATCATCCGCAAATAGTGTTACTGGTTGCTCAATGCATTTAGGTAAGTCATTGATGTACAATATAAATATAAGTAAAGTAAGTTTTAATTTTTTTTCTATTGGCAAGATACCACAGTATTTAAATACTTTGTTGTAATTGTCCTTATACTGTTGTTTGATTTTAGGGGGGACAATTGTTTTGATGATTCTAAGTTGTAATTCATGGATTCTACAAAGATGCGATTTCCAGGTTCTACCATAGCTACTTAATCCGTATTGTATTAAAGTTTTTGTATTGTTTTGTTGGGTGGGGTTGTTTGGGGTCCGGGGGGGGTTTCTGCTGGGGGGGGGTTTCCCTGGGGGGGGTTTTTGTTTGGGGGCGGGGGGGGGGTTGCTTGGTTAAATTCGACCAGAGCCTTATAAAGGGACAATAGTGTAGGAAAGGGAACTTTATACCTAACGATAGAAAATTTGGCAAGTATGGCCCTTAACTTATCGCACACTTTATTAATATGGTGCGTCCATTTAAATCGACTGTCTATTATGAGTCCAAGGTAAGGTTATTGTTCTACTAATTCGATAAACTAATTTGATTTTATAAAGAAAATATTTTAAAATTTGGGCGAATTTCTTACGCGATATATTATTGTAGAGAGAGCGCGTGGAATGTATAGAACCGAATGCTGCAGGTCGTTCGCTAGGAGTAGCGCCTTAATTGGCCTCCCCTTTAGATTGTCTTGTAGGCTTTTGCTATAGTTGCCACGCTGGCAAGGCGAGATGGCGAAAGAACAATGCTGCTGCCTATATCCTGTTTCAGTTTCCCTCTATCCTCACTTACGACACCTACGACAGGGGTCGGCAACCTTTTGAGTCGGAAGAGTCAAAATTACAATTTAAAAAATTTCAAAGTATTTAAAGAGCCACAATTTTTTTTCTTGCCAAGCATATTAGTACTTGCATAAATAAATATTTTTGAAAAAAAAATATATACATTCAAGAACTTCCGAGCTTTCGACGGACTTACGACAGTGACGACGCGAGTCACCGGGGAGGGGTGCGGTGAAAAGCGAGTACAAGTGGCTGAGAGATAGAAATGGTTCCTAATACCTACTCGTTAATCGATTCAGAACGATTTTAAATATTTTATTTTATAAAATAAATAATATTTGCGTAAGGAACTAAAGAGCCGCAGCTTCACATCCAAAGAGCCGCATGTGGCTCTCGAGCCGCAGGTTGCCGACCCCTGCTCTAGTGGAATAAAAAGTCAATTAGTTTGTGGATATTCATTTATAATCTACGTTTCTACGTTCATTTCGTACACCATTTTCGTGAGAATGTTCTTGTGTTGATTTTTGGATTTTTTTAGTGTTTTATATAGTGTTTTATTATAAAATTGTAATGAAAGTTTTTGTATGACTATAATTTATCTTTTTACGTAAATAAACTCAAGTAATATACATGTATAGAAATAATTTTGATTTTGAAGCTGCCGACATTCAATTCTCCTGTAAATCTTTTTGTAATGAATTAAAAACTTACTTTTGTTTAGACCACAGAAGTTCGGCATTATAAAATCTATACAAAATTCTCTATCTTGTATAGATTTTATAATGCTAAACTTCTTCGTAGAAAAATAGTCTCTAAATATAAGTGTTAATGATTTAAAGTGCTGTGGGTGGGTGCGGTCGCATGCGACCGCGCGGGATTTGTCAGACACATGCGACTGCAAGGTTTTTGATGAGGATTGAAGGGTTAAAGCTATATAGGTTTTATTGTCAAATTATCACATATACATATGGTGTGACCCATTATGTAGCTAAATAAAAATTGTTAATTAAACCAAAAATAGATACATTTTTGATAGAAAAAAAATTTACTAGTAGTGTAGTTTCAGTACTTTATCAAAGAACAAACATTATTGAATATAAAAAGACCAATAATTACGAAAGAAATTATAAATTGGAGTGGGGGAGGGGCTAACTATAAGGCAGATTTTTAATTAATTTTTTGTAAATAAATTATTGACGAACAAACTATTATTGATAGAGAACAATCAAGAACAAACCACGAACTAACGATATGTGATAACGAAATTTGAAAAATTAAAAATTTTAAAGGCTAACTTAAGTAAGCCATCTCGAGGAGAGTGTACAGAAAAGATACGCAGTATAGTACAATATCTTTGGTGTACAGCCAGGCTATGGTCTACCGTCTATGTACTATATCTATGAAGAGAATATAATCACTACGTTTATTTACCCAAGTTGGTTGA